CCCCAAAACCCCAAAACCCCAAAACCCCGCTCTGAATACAATATTCGAAGTTAGAGGTATTTACTAAAATTGAAATATGAATATTAAAAATTTAATGAGACCTAGTCACACAAACATGAACAGTTTTGGTAAAGCAGTGAAACTAATAGCAATTTCAGCCCTACTATCTATAAATTTGAGTCTAAATACATCTGCCAACGAGTCACAGTCAACCCAACCTAATCTTACAGAACTAAAATCCAAGTTAAGCCAACTAGAAGGATAGATTTAAAACACTGAGGCCAAGTTAGAGGCAATTAGTACTTTGAAAATGCATCATAGACGACAAAAGCTAGTAAAGATTGGAAATAGCAAATTAGATGAAATATCAAGCTTGAACAAGTTGACTTTACATCAACTGGCTGATGTTGATCATGTCAGACTTCCTAACTAGAGGATTTTAAAAGCACATGATTAGGATCATCAATTTGACGTGAAAGATATTTAAAATGAAGATAAATCAAATAGCCTTAGCTATAGAGAGTAATAAATCAGAAACCCTCTATTAAATCAAGTATTTGATAGAGGTTAAATTATTGGTGAAAATGAGGTTACTACATTTGAACTTATGCCTGTCAAAACTTTCAAATCATTACACTCAGCTATAATAAGCACAGTCACAGTCTCAGCCTCTATCAATGGCATTATTTCAGTACATGATATTAATGGAAATCTTCTTGACTAAATTAACATTGAAGAGGACTAGAAAGTTATCTCTTTAGCTTAACCTATAGGTCAAGATGATATGTTGATAGCTGTCTTAACAGATAAAGCTAATGTCTATACTTTTAAAGCACATATAAAAGACTACTTTGGAGAGACTAACTCAACCTCCCAAAATGAGACTACAAGAAAGTCATCTAAAAAAGTATAAAATCAACCAGCATTATATCAAGTCTTAAAACTATCTTAAGAAAAGAAAGTGAATCTTAAAGAACTAATAGAGAAGGCAAACGCTACTTTTGATAAAGAATAGATTTAGTTCAAGCAAGTAATGTTCACTAGGTCTAGAGGTAGACTACTTTTAGTTTTCCTCGATAACACTAATCATATAACGTAATCTGCTTTATCATAATTTTTAATTATAGTACTACCTCAATTGATATAAATTTCCTAAGCAGATATCTGATAGACACATAAAACGAGGAGATTATTGGTCTAAGAAAGTAATAAGTTAGCATAATGTTTTTCACTAAATCTAAAATTGGATTTACCAAGATCACTGATAAGTCTGTCTCCAACAACTACTGTGAATCTGTAAGTATTTAAATTGTCTTAGTAAATATTTAAAATAGGGAGCCTCTCAATTAGTTAACATTGTAGTTGATCTAAATCTTCCTAGTGTAATATATGCCGCAACAAACAGAGGTGAAATTTACATCTATGAAGCTTCTAATAGAGCCGATATAATGGATTGCAAGCCAAAAGGAAGATTATCGACACCCTCATAAGTCTATTAAAATGAAGCAAATAGCATCAAACTAGAAGTAGCCTCTAATGTTCTATACGCATTATTGGGAGACGGCTCATTGCAAATGTTCAAAACCAATGATGTTGATAAGCTAATTAAATCTGAATACCAAGGGGCTGTATACAAGACTGAGACTTAGAAAAAAAGTCCAATCTAAAATGATTTAGTTAATACTCATAGTATTCATTTATCAGTTTCCAATAATTTCGTTGCTTTCAATGGACCCTACCTAGTAGATGGTAAACATTAAATAGACCTTATTGAGTCAATGCATAATGCTAAAGTTGATGCCAGTGGATTGGGCAGTTCAACTTCATGGGATACTACTACAATACGATATATGATGATTCTAGCAGCAATAGCTCTTGTTGGAGGATACTAGTATGTGAAGTTTATGAACAATAAAAAGGAAAAAGATGCAATTAAGTAAAACTTGCCCCCAAAAAATAAATAACCAGCAAAGACCTCAATGAAATAAGCTCAGCCTTAATAAATGTAGGAAGAAGATGATGATTAAGTAGAAAATGCTGACTCATTCTCATAGATGAGGTAAATGATGGAGGAGATGGAAAGGTTAAAATAATAAACATCACAAATGACTAACTAGCTTGGATCGATTGGTGGGAAAATAGCCAATACCAAAAAAGATGTAAATAGCTTAGCAGGTGCTTCACAAAGAGGTAATGGCCCAAACAGTCAACTCATTGAAGAATAATCAGATGAAGATTATTGAATCTTTATCAATTTCTATTAACTTAAAAATTATTTGATTTTTGTGAACAGGGGTTTTGGGGTTTTGGGGTTTTGGGG